CCAGAGCTTGAGGATGACACATACCACCCCACCAGGGGGGAGAAAACAGTTTTATACACACACATACCGGTATATATATATATAGTGGGGTTATAATACAGAATAAATAATGAGAGAGTCCATATGTTATATTTGTGACAGTTTGAGCCAATTAGGGAGAAATCTTTATTTTCTCTAGTTTTATGGTGTCAGATATGTTTCTGACACATTTTAGCATGCTAAAATGTGAGGGATTGCTGAAGAATCAATAAGTCGATGCAATCAGTTACTTTTCCTTAGATAGAAGACTAGATCAGCAACCACCCAGCTAAACACAAGGAAGGAGAAGTTGATGCCTGAATCATTTCAGTTTTAAAAAGGTTCCCAAACAGGAGGGAAACACGAGTCTCCTGACGGCTCACAGGTCTACCAGCTGGAAATCAGTCCTCTCTCCCTGCATCCACCTCCATGGATGAAACATGAGCAGTTCTAGAACTGTGGATCTACAGCAACATGTTTGGGTGGTTAACAGGTTGATCTAGGTAGATCCTAACACTGTCCAGACCTTCTCCCTCCATCACAACCTGAATTCCTAATAATGTTGGTTTTTCTATCATGAATAAATATCAGCTGTTATTTTATTTGATGTTTGTTTTTAGTCACGTGCAGCTGAAACAGTCACCTCTTCTATTTAGGATATGTCTGTTTTCCCTGTTCTCTTTTCAAATTAAATTGAAAATAAAGGTGTTTTTTTTCAAGGTTCATTAAATGTTTTACTCAAATAATAAGAATCATGCAAAAATTAAAAAAAAAACAAGAGCAGTGATCGATAATAAATGTGTTTTTACCTTTTTGTTCATGAAAAGAAGCAGAAAGTTAATCCATGAGTGAGATGATGAAGCAGCCTGAATGTTTGCTCCTGCAGAGGCACACAGAGCAGAGCAGCACTGAGAGAAACATCTGGGAGGGGGGGCTGACAGCCACTTCCTGTTCTTACCTTCACAATAAAGCTCACATTTCTGGATTCTTATCTTTTACAGTAAACTTCTCTGCCCAGCCCTTATTTTTTAGGAATGACATCTTCTCAGTGTTTTTGTACCAAAGGATAGGATGAAGGCTCGCCCTGCAGGGTGTGCTCCAAACTAGAGCAGGACTTAAACAGGTGTGATTGTGACACCTGGATCCATCTAGGATGCCAAAGTAAACAGAACGTAGCAGGGTAGGAAGGTCTGCCTAAACCTTTAACGTATCTTTGGTCATTCTGAGCTGTTTTATTATTATTGGAGGACGGAGGGAATATCGATGCAGCAGCTGCTGAGACACGGTGACGTCACAGTGCGGTATCGGCTGTTGATCAAGTCCCAGTGCTGGATGCCTCCAGTAAAGCACATTCACATGAAAATTACTCTGAATTAAAAACACTGATCATTTATTGAACAGGATGGAATCATTTTATACTTAAAGAACTTTCAGGAGTTTGAATTCTGAATATGAGCGGACTTTTCCTTTAAAGCCACCAGATTCTTCGGATAATCCGGTTCCTCCTCGGTTATTTAATTCAATTCTATTCCGTTTATTTATATAATGACAATTAGAAACACGTCATCTCAAGGTAACCTGGCATGAGCCAGATGGATCCACCTGTTCAGTTTGATTTCTACGCAGTATCCATCTGGAAAGCCTCCTGTCATGATTTTACAAAGTTCAGACCCAAAATGCAGAAAACCGAACTGAGAGACCAGGGAAAAGGTT